GTAGCCACAAATAAACTCATTAGAAATCTTAATTAAACGTATTACTCACGTATTATGTACGTACGTAATTTCCAAATGTTGCGGCGGTAAAATATTTGACTCCCAAGGAAATGATACTACTTTGACCGAGCTTGACTCTGATAATATTTAATGCAAAATAAATAAAATAATAAAGAACAAAATAAAATAAAAAAAATATATAGATCCGTGTATATAGACAGCTTTAATAATAAAGTCAGTACTTTACAGAAACTTAAACATCTTAATACGCAGTAGCTGAATAGTAACGACGTAGTGATTACATAATTACTATTAAATTTAATCATAACTACATAGTTATTATTCAGTTACTGCGCATTAAGAGATTCAAAGTTTCCGTATAGTATATTAGCTAGCTAAACCGCATAACTTGCGAATTTTTTTTTAAAAAAAAAAAGGCCAATTCCCTGAATCATGTATAAATTGTACTTTATTAATAAACTATCAATAAAGCAAATCATTTACATCAAAATCTTTATCCCCATGTACAATTTCTTCATTTACACCTAAAGACTCATCAATCTCTAACTTTGATTGTAAATTTATGAAACTTCCTATTTCTAAATTTGAGTTTTCTTGATCTAAGTCAACTGGTTCATCAAGACTTTCCATGTCTTCTTCCAACAGCTCTTCCATCAGTTCTTCCGTAAGTTCTTCCGAAAAAGAAATCGACTCTTCCTCGCCAAATAAATCCGTGCCATCTTTCATGGAACTTGCGATTTTGTTGAAAATTGATAAGAAATCCTCTTGAGGAAAATTTGGATTCACATAATTAAGCTCTGACTTAGTGTTCTCGATCAAATATGAATGCATCTGAGCCATAATCTCCAGGCGCCCAATACTTAGCCTAAAAAGTAGTATTTGTATTTGTTCATTTAAAAAGTGAAAATGAAATTAAAGAATGATTTAAATAATCGATTTTTATATCAAATCAATTACACAAGAATTGGCCAATCAAAATCGATTTTTATATCAAATCAATTACGCAAGAATTGGCTAATCAAAATTGATTATGTAAGCATTAAATTCACTATAAAAGTGATGCTTACGATTACTTTTTTGGAGTGCCGTAAGAAAATAGTCATCTTTTTTTTTTCTTTGCGACATTCAAATACTAACAACTAAAAAATTACGAATAACTTAAACTCTACAATGTAAAGGAAAAATAACTAACCTAGTTCGCCTTTTTCCGAAATACCACCCTAGTATGCTAAAGACACGCTCACAGGCAGCATTATGGGGGGAAATAGAGTGTACTTTTTCAGCAAGATTTTTAATATGGTCTTCATTTCTTTTAAGATCTCTAGACATCCACCAATTAGTAATTGTATCAGCAGATGCAATGAATTTATCTTTAAAGGGATACTTTTGGTTTTTGTATAAATTCATTTGAGTTTTTAGTAGATCTGCGCTAATTCGACCACCTCCAAATTGTTGCTTCCATATTTCTAAAGCTTTTTTAAGAACATGGTTTGTATATATACCAGGTTCAAGGAAATCACCTATAATAAAGAAGAAAAAAAAAGATAGAAAAAAATAAAAATAAGATAATATAAAAAACATATTACTCTAAATTATGTGACTTTAAGTACCGCGGTAAGTTGGATGCAAAAAAAAAGATAAAAGATACAGTTCCATATCAAATTCTTTCCACCGTTTATTATAAATGGCAATGCAATCACTCCGAAACTTGCTATTATATAGAATGGATGTTTCTTGGATTGCAATTGCCATTTTTACTAGTTCAACGAAAACATCAGCCAACAAGGTAGTTCGAAATTCTACGTTTTTTACAGCCCGTTTTACTGGGCCAAGAATATTTCTTAATTGTTCTACGTCAATCCAGAATTGACGATCAGTTATTATATTTTTTACGGCACTTGCGTGATCAAAAATTTGAGGGTCTTGTTCTAAAATCTATTGCAATTAAGTTATTTTAATTTAAAGTATAATTATGTGAAGTATAAAATGCAAAGTTGACTGTATATATATATTAAAGATTTTAATACCGATCGAATGTTCGCTTCATTACGTAAAATTGATTCACAACAATCCCATACCGTTGACCACCGAGTTTTAGTACTAGACTTTAAATTTCCACCAACCGTGAAGGAGCATATGATTTCTTCTCTAAGGGCAGCACCAGCAATATAAGAATTTCTAAAAAAACTTACAATTTTTTGACAGTTAGAAAGGACATTTCGCGCATGAGGTAAACGACAGATACTACTAGAGATTAATTGTATGTGATGTGCAATGCATCTAATAGGTAAGATATGTGGATATTTTGCTGTAACCTGTCGTTTTGCTGCCGTCATTGCTGATTCTGCATCAGAAACTATTGCAACAAATTTATCAGGTCCGACATTTTCTAGTACCTCTATTATTTTTTCTGCATTAAACTTAGCTGTATGAGAGAACATTGAAAAATCACGTAAAGAATAGATATATTGTTTTTTTTCATCGGTCATTATAACAAAGGCATATATACTATGCTTCATTGGACTGCACCAACCATCTACACACAATGTAAGGTTCCTAGATTTTGATAGTTCCTTTTCTATCTTCAATGTTATGTTTGCTGCTTCTACATCCAATATTGATGTTGCCAATGTAGTTCGCTTGGGTGAATTATATCCTGGGTTTAACATCTTGGTATAATCTTCAAAATAAGGATTATCAAAGGCAGAAAATGAAATGCCAGAGCACACAATCCACTTAATTAATGATTTATTGGCCATTTTTTCTTTATTTTTATCAATGGCTTCTTTTGTATCATAGTAATCTTCAAGAGATAACGTAGAATTGCCTGATTTTCTTTTTTTTAAGGTGGATGCTCCAGATGAAATAGGCCCGTCTTCACTTTGAAGGTCCCGAAGTACCCTAAGTCGAATTTCTCGTGGTACCTTCCCTTTACATTTCATTCCAAGGTGAGCCTTCATATCCTGAGCTCTTCCTCGAGTCCATGATGTAGTACAATATCTACACCGTGCTCCTTTATGCTTTCCTTTTCCATTGTTTATAATGTCATATTCTTTCCAAATATCTTCTTGGGGTCGTCCCCCGCTATATGATGATTGCGTTGTTTCTGTTTGTACGGAATCCGTTTCGGAAATAAGAACAGGATCACTTGAAATTCCATCAGTACTAATATCATCATTGTTTGTAGAATATTCCATTATTGTAAAAAATTTGATATATATGCTATATAAAATACTAATCTATAAAATTTCCTCAAAAAAAAAAGAAAAAATCACCACGAAAGATAATGTTCATTAGTGCGCCAAGTTATTGGGAACACTGGAGTTAGAAAAAACTTAAAAATTCTACGCAATAAAAAAAGAAAGAAAAGGTATAAAGCGAACAATATTTTATTTTAAAGAATGCAAGATTTGGAAATTACGTACGTACATAATACGTGAGTAATACGTTTAATTAAGATTTCTAATGAGTTTATTTGTGGCTAC